ATAACGTTTAATTTGTTTATATCATTAGAGCCGGTAAGCAGGTCGTCTACATAAAAATCTTTGAAAATAGTCTCACTTGCTTTAGGAAACTGCACAGAATTGTCACTTGCTAATCGTTTTAGGCATTTGATTGCTAGATAAGGAGCAGAGGTAGTACCATAAGATACAGTATTAAGTTGATAGGTTGAAATAGCTTTATTGAAATCGTCTCGCCATAAAATCTGTTGCAGTGGCCGGTGATCTGGATGCATAAGGATGCAACGATACATCTTGGATACATCGGCAGACACTACATATGTATAAGTTCTAAATCTGAGTAAAATGTCTATTATGTTATTTTGGACTTTTGGACCAACATACTGCAAATCGTTTAACGACCACCCTGTTGAGGTAGAACAACTTCCATCAAAAACTGTTCTCAATTTTGTTGTTATACTATCTTGTTTAAGAACCCCATGATGGGGTAAAAAATAGGAATCAGAATTGTTTTCTTGAATAGGCAGTTTCGTCATGTGACCCAAAAACTCATACTCTTCCATAAAGTCAAAATACAGTTACTTAAATTCCAAATTTATAAATTTCTTTTCAAGGGATAGAAATCTTTTGGCAGCTACTTCTTTTGAATCACCCAACATAGTTGAAGGATATTTTAAGGGGAATTTTACAACAAATTGACCTTGTTCGTTCCTAAATGTATCCTTTTCGAACAATTTTTCACATTCAATATCGTCATGAGATGGAGGGATGGGAAGGGACACTTCTTCAAGCTCCCAAAACTTTTTTAGTTGATCATCTTCAGGTATATGTACTTTAGTAAAATTGCAAACTGTATTATTGGGTAAAATGGGATAACTGCCTGTGGCAATGTAGCCAAATCTTGTATTTTGGAGAGTAGGAAGGTTGTTACCTAATTGTATTTTTCCTTCTAATATAAGTTCCCAAAATATATTGGCACCTATCAATAAGTCAACTTCTCTGCAAATATTAAATTCTGGATCGGCTAATTGAACATGATTTGGAATACTCCAATTTGTAATGTCAATTGATTGAAACGGAATATTACTTGTGATAATTGGTGTCACAAAACACAAAATTGAGCATTTAAAATTAGAAGAATTTGAGTGCACGGAAATTGTACATTTCTTTTTAAGTTGAGACACCACCTGTGTGATGCCTATAATGGATAAATTGGCAGGGGAACATTGAAGGTTGAGTTTATTACAAAATAATTCACTAATAAAATTAGATTGTGCACTAAAAGAGTTCTGCATTTATGGAAGTTTCCTTCAAAATCTTGAACTCTGCATACAATTGTGGATAAAATAACTTGGGTTTGTGAGGGTATCTCGGGTCTCACTAACGCATTGAAATTGGTTTCAGGTTGGCTCTGAGTTGTATCTGGAATATAATTTTGCTGAATATCAAAATGTAATAGAGAATTGTGTTTCATAATTTTATTTTGGGATTTACAAGTTTTACATGGTTGAAGATTACATTTATCAAAGGCATGGCCTGTTCGCAGACAATTGCGGCACAAATTGAGCCGCTTAACATTTTCTAGTCTATCCTTTATAGCTAGTTTTAGAAATTCTTGACATTTATAAATTGTGTGATTGCTTCCACAAAAATTGCATTTAACTGTATATAAAGCTGAGCTGGATGTGAAATTTACATTGCTTTGATCGAACTTATTTCTTGAATGATGTTTATAATTATTATTATTTACATTAAGAGTGGGTTTATAGCCAGAATTATTTACATTAAATGATTGTAATAGATCTACCTTATTTTTTATGAAATCCATAAATTCACCAAGTGTAGGTAATTCATCCTCATAATCTAGTTCTTTCCACTCTCTCAAAGTGGTTTTGTTTAACTTATTTGACATTAAATGTATAATAAAGGAATCAAAAAGTTTATGCATGCTCAGCTTCATGGCATCAATAGCTGCCAAATGCTTAGTTAATTCATCTAACATTTTACTACAGTGAAAGAAGTTTTCTTTATTTATTTGAGAAAGTTTTAATAGACTTTGAAAATGACTGTCCAAGAGAAATTGTTTTTTTATCGAATTTATCACAAAGTATCTGCCACGCCCTGCTGTATGGTTTGTCAACTCCGTCAAGACCATCAACAAACCTAGAAGCATAACCTCCTAATGATGATTTTAAAAATTGGAACTTTTGACATTCTGACAAACTTGTATTATCTGCAATAATTGAAATAAAATTTACTTTAAAGTTAATCCATTCGTCAAAATTACCGGAAAAGGTAGGTAATTTAAGTTTAGGCAACAAAACATTTTGTAATGAATCTTTGAGATGAAAAGCTTGTTGATGAATTATTTACCTGTTGCGATGCATTAACAGGATTTGCCTCAGCTAGGGGCCTATATTCTTGTTGTAAATATTGAACTAAAAAACTTTGAACTTTATAAAACCTTTCTTGAAACTCATCTCGTTCCTGATGATGAATGTCTATTTCACCTTCTTCGCATAAAGACTCTATCAATGACTCAACTTGATCGAATTCTTGCAATAGAACCGAGCCATTTTTGTACCTAAGATCGACATCAATGAAACTGGGTTTATTCGGCGGTAAAGAAGTTTTAATTGTATTAACGAACTTCTCTAAAATTGTTAACTTGTATTTAATGGTACCTCTATTTCTAATTAACCGCTTAATATCCTCAGTTTCCTTGAGACTCACCTTGACAGCTCCTGCTCCTTCAGCAGTTCCGGCATTCAGTATATCTTCATTAGGTAATGGCATTGTTTATTTAAATAGATTCTCGCCAAACAACATTCTCCAAGAGCTCCAACACTATCAAATATAAAAAAAACCAAAATACTACTTTTTGTATCTTCAAAACCCTATAAACACTGAAATTGTTGAACTCAAAATGAAAGTAAATAGGCCATAATTATGGAAGGGATATTAAATTAACTTGGGAACATAAATTCATTACAAATTCTTGAACATTCTAAAGAAAATATATAAAAACATAGAGAAAAATCGACTTTTTTTTGGGGAAAAGTGGGTAAATAGGATACCTGCTCCTGCCAATGTGGTAATCGTAATCGTAATAGTCCAAACTGTTTCCCAAATTCGGGTAAATCTTCAGAGAAATTGAAATTTCTTACACTTTCTGCTACAATCGCCCATTTGGTTAATTAGCGCCTCGTCTGACGATGTTAACTATGACTTTTTAACAGCTTTGGTTGAAGAATATTAATGTTTACTCTCTAGATCAGAAGTCACCTAAAATTAAAATTTCACATCATCCCTTTCAAGGCAGCTTGTGGGCATTTTTCTTGTGAAGTGTACCACCAAATAAATAAACTCAGGCACAGGAATGTTCAAAGAATGTAAAGAAAACAAAAAAAAATCTACAGCGCAGCCCTGTATCACTCTATCTGAACTGCACTACTCCATCTGTTCTACTCTATCTGCACTATTCTATCTGATCTACTATTTCTGCATCACTCTATCTGATCAGAATAGTGAAATAGTTCTGTTCTAAATATCTCCAGTTCCTGAGCAGCATGGTTCTAAAGCATCTGCAATGAAATTACCGCGCATCGGTGAGCTTCGTTCTAGGTATCATATATGGCGCCGTATACAAAATGGTTGTGGCGGACTCATAACCTGGCTCTTTGCCACTCGACACCAGCCGGACGAAGCACTCCGAACAGTCGGCACGGAACACGGCTGTCAAGGGATGCCTGAGAGGAGAAACGGAACTTAGCCACAGAACGTCAATGGTCAAGCGTCAAGAAATGACAGGGAGACCAGTTCGCGCTCTTTCGGAATGAGCGAACCAACAACAAAATTGAATACACAATTAAAACATTGGATCGTACAAATTTGGAAGAGCTAAAAAAAAAAAAAAATATTTCAAGGAAACTGACTGATGACCAGAAAAAGAAAAAGGAGAGACTTGACAAGTCTAGAGGAGCATTAAAGCTATACAAGAAAGGCGAGGTTGTGATGGTGATGAAGTTAGATACACTTTACGCAGGTTCAAGTAGGAAGTATGAGTACATAGGTACTATGAAGTACCAGGTTCACATACTGAAAACAACATAAAAGTTATGGTTGAGATAATTAATGTTTGAGATATTTGAAAAATACATTACTAAGAGGTACCTACTCATAGATCAAATATTATGTACAAGATTGGGAGTCGGAAGGTTTGATATGCCTGCTCAACAATGGTTTTATGTCAAGTGTTACTAAGTTTCAAAGTTCTCTGTCTATGTTAGAAAGGGATGGCCAAATGTTATGGATGAATATGGATGATGTATTTTTTTTTAATAAATAATTTTTAAAAATGCTGTTTTCATACTACATATTATTTAAACAATTGTTGAAGATTAAACAATTTGCACTAGAAAATTATTTTTTCCGCAGATCTAGAGGTTTTTCCTTATTTGAATCCCCCGATAAATTGGCCCGTGAATCAAAAATACTGAAATCAAATTTGAAAAAAAAGCAAACGGAAAATACGTTAATCACCATTAAATAAAACTTGTTTAAATTAGTGGCCTCGCTTTTTTTACATTGAATATACGTTGAATTGATTATTAAATTAATTACAAGTTTTTGTTACACAAATTATAATAATAATTGTTTGTTTGGACTGATTTAGGAATCTTTTTTATGTATTACAAATTCTAGTCATCATTGTCTTTTATATGTAGACAAAAATTCAAATTTATCTCAAATATAAAAACGATAAAGATCTATATTTCTTTTTTTCCATAGACGCAAAACTAAAGAAAGGCCATCCACTTCATTTAAGATAGTGGTACAGTTTTAGTACTCAAATCACAATTGGTACTTACAAAGATCAAACAAAGATTACTTTTGATGGTATACCACCAAACAAAAATGCTAGGAAATAACCCATTGGAATATCAAATAAGTTAATTGATGAAGGTTTTACTAGATTTTTTTTTAACAAAACAACAGAACCTGTTTGATTCTACATTTAGTTTGCGGATTTTACGATGAGCTAATGTATTGATTGATAATTTAGTGTGTGAAAAATTTGTGACGTCACGAAATAAAAAGTTCATAGACAAATTATATGTATGTTTTCATAAATAATATTTTGTAGAACCAATTATTGCGTGTATTACATCTAATTGGGCTCATTTTTTTTTAGTACTCATAAACAAAATGGATAATTACAAAGTGTTGACATGATTTCGTTTTTTAAGGGCCTATACGGCTTTATAGTAAATTGGTGGAATTTTAAGGAAAATGATGCAGTCCTTAAGGATTACAAATCTTTTAGGGACATTGAAAGTTCCATTCAAGGTAAGATGATATTATATTTAAAGAAACTGGCATTAAATTTTATAGTTTTGGCAAATGTCACTCGTAAAATACATCGTTGATTATGTTAATTGTATTTAATAATTGAAATCTATTAATAGTTTCAATGAAATTGAGGAAAAGTGCAATTTTCCGCGTTAGAGTTTACGAAAACAATGTCTGTTTGTTTAAAATCTAGAATAATGAAAACATTTCTGGCATTGTTTCAAAATGTCGAAAACGTAATAATTTTGTAAGAAATTTCAAAATATTCACTTATTATGAAACAATAATATCGAATAAATTGAGAAAACCCAAACATATAATCAACTTTCCTATGAAATTGTGACACTTTTTAACATTGGCATATCTTTGCTATTAGGCGTCATATCGTCATAAGATTTATGAGAATTGAATCGTGAACAATATGGCTTTATAATGTCAGAGTATTGACATCGATCAACATTATCAATAAAATGTGCGTTTTTATTCTCATCGGTGGCTTCACCGATGAATTAGCTATCTTTGTTTAGGGAATGGAAAATGACAATGACCGACATAGAATGGTGGATCCATCGGTAAAATTTGATGAGAATAAAAACGCAGGGATACTAATTTTAAGGTTTTTCGTCGACATCGTCAACAGACAACTTGACAGAAATCTCCGACAGCCTGACAGGCCAAAATCATCTGCCTCTACACTATGACGTCATTTTGCTGGCCCTCAAAGACTTGAGCAAACAATATTTGAACATCCCCGAGGAAATTGAATGGCAAAACATCAGCAGGGAAAATCTACACACGATTTTTAAAGGGCCCGAAGTGAACGTAGGGCTGTTGTGGGCTACTTTTTTAAAACGCAGTGATTTTCTTGAGGATTTCTTAAAATTGGGAGCAGAAATAACGTAAGAATTTTTTTTTTAGTATATAATGTATCAATATTAATTTGATTTTAGTTTCTATGAACAAAATTATGGTTTGAGTCCGCTTCATTTGGCCTCCTATGCGAATTGCAAACAAAGTACCGAATTCTTGCTAAGGCAGAAAGGCTGTTACGTCAATTTGATGTGCAAATGCTATAGTCCGTTGCACTGCGCAGCGTACGGCGACAGCGCGGAAGTGGCTGCGTTGTTGCTGGCAAAAGGTGCCAACATTGACGCTTTTACGAACGATTTGCATTTCAATTTGGAAGGCGTGCTACACTGTGCTGTACGTGCCAATGCTGTGAAATGTTTGAAGCTGTTTTGTGAGAAAGGTGAGTTAAACAAATTTTTGCATAAAGGCAAAAGATCTTAAGAAGCAGAGACAAATTGTCCAGTAAGTCAACAGTAAAATTGTAATGTGTAGCTAGAGAATTCGGCCAGGTTAGAAGAGAAATTTCTAGAATACAACGCTAATTTAATTGGAAAATAAATATTAGAAAAATCCTGTTCATTAAAGAAATTTAGAAAAACTGGGAGCTCGATTGGAGGACAGAATTCAAAAAGTAGAAAGACGGTTCGCAACATTAGACATCGAAATCAACAAAGTATAACTAAATCTAAGCTGACGTTGCACCGATACGCGTGCCAACTGCTTCAACTCGGTATTACACACGTAAAAAAACTTACGTCATTACACGAATCCGGTTAAATCGACCGCATGCGCAAATGTTCATATGAATTAATATATAGCTTTTTTCGCGCAGACGATCTTAAATGTATCCTGAACGCTAAGGCATGACCTACGCAGGTTTACAAATCAATAGAGACATGAAACTTTCAAATAATACCTGCATAGGTCATGCCTTAGCATTCAGGATATCGACCGTCAGATAGTGACATATTTAGGTGCCCCATTTTCGCATACAAGCCTCGAAGAGGGCTGAAAAGTACATCGATTTTGAGTAGGATGAAGGTATTTTCACGGGTGGCTCATGGGGATAACATATGAGGAATATTTAAGAACTGAGCCGCGTTAGCGGCGAAGGAGTAACATTCTGAGGGAATAATAGCCATTATTGCGAGTAGTATACTCTACTTTATTTACGACAAATTAATTTATTTGAGATTTACAATGAACAAATTTCATCCGTCTCATAATTTTCAATACAAATCCACAAGCACTACACGTTTGACACTGACACTTTTGTGGAATAATGACCATTTATCCCGCTACTCGTCATTAATCCCTGGAGGAATAACATATGTCATTATACTGCCAAAATCACAAATATAATACGCACATTATACATTAGTCGTAAATAAATTATAAATCGAAAAATCAAATCCTATATTTTATTTAAGAAAATAATGAATATACAGATTAATTCATGCGATTTGGATCATACCAATATTCAAAGTCAATTGTTTATTGATTTCAAAATCATGACAGTTAGCCGCTTTCATATGTCGCTGAGTATGTAAAAGCCCAATGATTGTTTCCGTAAAAAGTCTATTGTACTGTTTTCATTCGATTTGTTGCTGAGAATGTGCGGAAATGGGAAAAATTCGGATATCACAGGAAACACGACGGGTATTCCCCGAAGGAATCAAACTGTTAATAAATTTGTCGTCGGATGATCTATTTGACATCTGACAGTTCTGACACGGACAAAAAATTCGATAGTAGATTGGGTGCGGCTATGGATAGAAAAATCGGCGGTAACAAAAACGATGAAATTGACTTTTTGGCGAAAAACGGTAAAAAAATCGGTAGAATCGTAATTATTATCGAAAATCGGTAAAAATTCATCGGTATTTCGGTAGGTCCGTTGCCATTTCGGTAGAAATACCGAAATGCCGGTACCTTCAACAACACTGGTGAACCAATACGTTCTCTATAAGGTATAATGTCACAACTATTTGCAAAATTTTAATTACCTTATTGGCGAAATTCCTGTACCAATAGATGGCGCTAAATTACGCGAAAAATAGCAATATGTCTGCCGAACTCAGTGAATAACAAAGCCAGTTTTTTGAGGTTAGTTTTTCAATTGTATTTTATGGCGTTTTTGTGATTTATATAACAGAAACAATACATAAAAAGAATAATATTCTGTAGAAAATTGAAAACTTCCAGAAACAATGCCGGGGGCCAAATGCAAACTTGCTTTGTTGTTCACTGAGTTTTGAGTACCAAAGTTGATCATAGATGTCGTCTACTTCGGGACCTTTCGCGAATTGCATTGGTAATTCATGGGGTTTACAATTGACCATTTCAATAAACTTTTCTAGAACCTGTCTTATCATATTTGTTTTATGTATACTGCATTATTTACTTTACATATCTCCAATCCCAGGAAATGCATACCTTTATTTTGAAATTCTTTCATTCTAAATTTCTTCTGTGATCCTACTTTAATTGAATCTAAATTTTCTTTAAAACATGATAGACCGTCAGATAGTGACATATTTAGGTGCCCCATTTTCGCATACAAGCCTCGAAGAGGGTTGAAAAGTACATCGATTTTGAGTAAGATGAAGGTATTTTCACGGGTGGCTCCAGGGGATAACATATGGAAAATTGTCCAACCAAAAATGAAAGACGTCCTGGTGCCCATATTTTCTCGCAAGCCGTATTCACTAAAGGATTAAATAATAAATCCTGGCTTCGTGAAAACAAAGAAGGGGGTGTTGCAGGTGGCCAAAGGTTTGAAATGAGGGCCTAATGTTGTAAGGAAAAATCAAGATTTTGGGCGAATTTTCCACACAAGCCCATCGGAAGGATGAAAATCTACAAAGTTGGTAGCAAGAAAACATATTGGCTTGAGTTTCGCGAATGGAAAAGTACATTTTAGGGTAACATAAGTAAAATCGAATTTTCCATATGCTATCCCCAGGAGCCACTCGTGAAAATGCATTCATCCTACCTACTTAAAATCGATGTACTTTTCAACACTCTTCGAGGCTTGAATGCGAAAATGGGGCACCTAAATATGTCACTATCTGACGGTCTATGAGAAAATATTAACATCATCAACATGATTTACCAAAAAATGTTAAATTATTGAAATATAAACATGGATCGTTGAAAATCAATATCTCTCAAAGTGTCAATAAAGAAAGAATTCCAACATTTTGGTGATTGACGTGAGCCGTATAAGGCATTTTGTGATTTACAAACCAAACTTAATGTTTCATTTACATTAAGACCTTCAGGTAATTGCATATAGCTGAATAAAAAACAAATCATAACTCCACATACAATGACAACAAGACTCGAATACTACCGATTTTGGCAACCGGAGCATACACATTCTCGGTTAAATCACTCTGTTCAAATCCGCGAGCTACTAATTTTGCTTTCTTTTTCACTTTGTCACTAAACGCCCACTTTGAGTCTATAATCTTCTTAAAGACTTTTCTACTAGTTCCCATGTTTCATATTATTTTAAAGTTTTAAGCTTTTCTTCAACTGCATCTTTCCATCCTTAATCTGTCGTTAAAGTTTGTGGCAACTCTCATATAAAACTTGCCGCTGACAAGGCAGCAAATAAATTAACATCATAGTCGAGATTTAAGTGAGTTGAGTTATCTGGGGTACACAACGATTTCTTAAACATTTCCTCCTTCCTAATTCTTCTTTTTCTGGATTATTTTTCCATTAATTTTTTGTATTTTATTTGGTGTTTTCTTTGATTCTTGTATGTTAATTTTTGTTACAGGGGTTTTTTTTTTCGTCTGTCTCTTGTTCATTTTCAATGTAAATATCTGGCTAATTCATTGGTATTTATTTATTTCTTCGGATATCACATTGCTTCCATGTATATTATTCTTTGCTTATTTTCATCCCAAAGTCTATATCAATTATCAGCATACCCTATCATTATCAATTTTCCACTATGCGCATCTAATACAGTTTGATATGATTCTGACATGGATGATAATAATTGTAAAATTACCTCATTGTCATCTATCTGTCCACCATTTGACTTCAATTCAGAGATGGTTTGGTCAAATTTTATAAAAAATTGTGACAAAGGATTCCCTTCAATATATTTCAAACTTCGTAATTTTCTTTGTAGAGTTACTTGTGATGAAATTCCTTTCTTCAAGTACCTATGCATTGCTTAAACATTCTACTATTTCCTTGGCTGTATTTTTAGTTTAAAGCATTTCTAGAATGTTGTCTGAGACACACTGGATTATAATTGTCTTCAGGTTTCATAAACTTTTCATATTTAGTCACATTTATTGGATCGGGAGAATTTTCAGTTAACACGTGTTTTACACCTTGTTGCTCCAACAATAATTTAATTCTAAAATCCAAGTTTGAATAATATGCTGTTTTGTCAAAGGGTTTTACATAAAATAATTTGTTGGTCATCCAGAAACAAGGCAACTGCGCTAACTTTGGCCTTATAAGAGGAGACTGAGGTATTAACCACTTTGGAAAATGAGAACACTAGAATCCCACGAAATCCTACTGGAATTCCAATGAAAATGAATAAAGTCTTGGATTTATGAGTAGAAAGTACACTTCATGAGTAGATTGAGTTCTACTCTGCGGGACGAACGGAGCGAGTTCCGCAGCAATTAACTTAATAATAAGTCGTTCAGAATTTACGTCGCGGGACTTAGTCACTGTTTAGATAAAACTTATCACCGACCAATTACACCGCGACCTAGTACTGGCATCAGGTTACTTCGCTGGACATGGGCAAGCACCACCAGAAGAAGTACAGAGACTAGTTGAGTATTGCAACAGGAGCAAACTACTGCTCCTAATTGGCTGTGACGGCAACACCCACAATCCCATCTGGAGAAGTACCGACACAAATCTAAGAGGCAAGCATATGTTAGAATTTATTTTTCAAAGAAACCTACACTCTATTTTCTCCCAAGATAAATTTTGACATTGTCAACTTTGAAACATAAACAATACCGCAAGTTCTGATTGCTGGCAAAATGCCGTGTCCTTCCAGGTGAGGTATCCTTTTACATGCTTGGAAAACGATACCTTTGTCGAATGCAGGTACACGGCATTTTGCAACCAATAAGCGGCATTGTTTATGTTTCAAAGTTGTCATTGTCAAAATCTATCTTGGGGAAAAGTAGACTGTAAATATACTAAATGTCGGGAATACACCAATATTTGTTACTAGGGATAATAGGAAGTGTTAGACAGAACACTTTGTAGTCCAAATATTGACTAAATGATCAGGAATTGCAAAGACTCCAATGAACCCTCTCTCTCTCTGATCACAAAATCATAATGTTTGACGTAAAAGGAGTGCAGGAACGAACTACCTCGTATAGAAACCCCAGAAATACG